GTATACACACAATCCAATCCCTGGGATTGTCCTCTGCCACTTCTCATATAGTCTCATGATGAGCACTGTAGGCTTTCATGCAGGAGATCAGGGTTCAAATGCAGCTACTGCAACTTTAACAAAAGTCTCTTCAAACTTCATGTTGTCACACAATTACCTTAATTACAAACACCTGCTGACGTGACAGGCACAAACTGGTGTAGAAAACACATTTGAACTTGGTCAAAGTTCATTCTGACAGTCCAATGCTCCTGCCTACATTGTACTACAGCTGCCATTGTAATTTCTATCCGTAAAGGTCCTGTGCCAAATGACTGCTATGCCTTCTGGTACCTGTACAGCTTGTAGTTTTTGAAATATTAATGTTTAAACTTTATTCCAAATGTATATAATGGGAGTCAATGGGGCTTTGTAATGGTCAAATACTGCCCCCAGCTGTACTCAACTTGGTACTGCACCAAAGTTTTTTAATATTTAATCTCAATTGTTCAGTTTACAATACTAATATGATTGTATTTTGATGTTTTACTATATCATTGTCTTAATACTGCTCTATTGTTGTAATATTATGCAATTTAGTGTCAATGATTGTATTGGCAATGTGGCCTCTTTCTGCACACATACAAACCAACCCCTGCCACCTCCTTCAGCCACAACGCCATTCGGCTAATGGTCTATGTCATGGACTTTCATGTGGGAGGTCAGGGTTCAAAACCCGGCTAATYCAACTTTAAGAAAAAATCTCTTCAAACTTCATATTGTCACACAATTACCTTAATTCTAAACACCTGCTGACGTGACAGGCACAAGCTGGTATAGAAAACACATTTGAACTTGGTCAAAGTTCATTCTGCAAGTCCAATCCTGCAGGCAAAGCCATGCTACATGGCAAAGCACACTTGTTTTTACATCGTAAAAACCCATGTCTAGTGAACATTTGTGGTTTTTTTAATGTGTATTTGCATATGGATGTTTTTGTTTTGTTTTTGTGTCTATTGGCTGAGCAACAAATTTCCCCTTAGGGATAATAAGGATTCTTGAACTTGGTTTAGAGTTAAACATGTTCTTGTCATAGTCTCGTTTTGTCTGGTTTGAACAGCATACACGTTTGTAACAGAGTTATGGGGGGACATTAACTGTGTCTTCTGTCATTTCATGAATCTGAGACACTGAAATGGCCTTAGCTCGAGTCAGATCACTGTCACAGAACAGAATTTTTCTGAGCCGGTCATTATTGATGCCACCGGCCAGTCTATGTCTGATCAGTTCTTCAAACAGCTCAGCAGAGTTGCAGCCCTGAGCTTCAAGGCCGGATTAACCATATGGGCAATTGGGCAGTTGCCCAGGGGCCCACGGTCTCCAAAGGGCCCTGGGCAGTGAAGGCATGGACATAACAGATGCGGGATATGCGTGAACATGTCTCCCTGCACTTCCTGCATCTGCGCTCTCTGTCCCCGCACTTTTCTCAGCCGTAACAGTTGTTTTATCCATTATTAACATGTGGTYATGCTTTTTTCTGAGCCGTCTTTGAACGCACCATAAGCGTGCGCATTCTACTCCTGCAGATGAGATGACGATAGGAGCTGCTGTGCTGAGCAGAGCCTCCCGGTGTAAAGAGCAACTAAAACTTGGCACAGTTTTTACCGAACAAACAGGGCCGGATTATCACTTTGCAGTACCCTGGGCAACAATATTCAAGGGCTCCATCATCACGACCCCAGGATTACCAGTCTGGCAAAATACAGAGTAAATTATTGCAATATATAGCAAATATACTCAATACTTCAAATTCTAAGTGTATTTTGATGTACAAATGCTCATAGAACTACAAATACACTATCTCCTTCACATGATGCTATAAAAACAAAACACATCAGTATAATCTGGTAAACATGAACCACTACAT